AAGGATTATTAGGTAGGGGGGGGGTGGGACTCCCGGGTTGTTTCCCGGGAATCCCCAGACCCCGCCCCCACAGCCCGGAAGACCCACACCAGCCATCGTATTCCGGCCGTGAAAGCCTTTGACAATACAGTATTAGGTATGTTCACCACTTTGAGCTGAATGAATGAATGAATGGCAGGATTAAAATCTGGTAATAATAATAATAGTTGTTGGTTGCTGTGTTTAATGTAGTGGGCAGGCTCATAGTTAATAAAGTCATTCTAATAGAGAAATGTTTCTTCCTCCTAGCCTAGACTAAGGAACGATAGATCATAACCAGTGTTCTAAATTTGCCAATTAAGTGGCTTGGTTTTATTTGAACTGGAAGTTTGTTTATTAACTTAAGTTGTGAACAGAGAGATTTTAGTGTGGTACGTGATCCCTAATGACTCCACTCCTTCCTGGAACAGTAACTTCTGGCAAGAACTTAATGGCATATTTGGAATTTTACAATTCTGCTTGTCTAGCTGTTACACAGGCAATTTAGTTGATTGTTAAGGAAGTAACAAGGTTAACAAATAAGTAACACATTCATTTTTCAGGATGATAAAAGGTATGTGTCATGAGTTCATTTTGGAAGCCACTAACACACACAGGAGAACAAGTAGGGTTGGACTTCACCTATACAGGTAGTCCTCAAGTTAGGACCATTCATTCAGTGACTGTTCAAAGTTACGGCAGTGCTGAACAAATGGAACTTATGACCGGTCTCCAAAGTTACGGCCATTGGGGCACCCCCACAGTCACGTGATCAAAATTTGGGCACTTGGCAACCCGCTTCAACTCCCCCCACTCACCTATCACCCCCATCTCTGCCCTTTTGGCTCCCTGCACTCCAGCCCCTGCTGCCCTGCGCTCCACCACTCCCAGCTGACCGTCATCGTCTTATTGCTCCCACTGCTAATGAAGCATGTCTGGCCTGGCCCTTCATGAGGCAGCTGCTGGCTGCGCAAGGCCTTCTTCCCGAGAACACGCACAATGGTTTCCTCACCTGGCCAGCAGCTGCCTCATGAAGGGCCAGGCCAGACATGCCTCATCAGCACCAGGAGCAATAAGACAGCAAAGGTCAGCTGGGGAGGTGGAGTGCAGGGCGGCGAGAGTGGCTGCGGCTTTGCGACACGCTGCTGGGCTGGGGCAGCTGTGCCTTCGCGCTGCAGCTCGGGTTTCTTGCAGCCCCAAAGCCACAGCGCACCAAGAAGCTGCAGCATGGCGAGCAGGGTGCACCCCGCAAGGCAGGGTACAGGGAGGCTAAAAGGACAGAGATGAGGGGGGAATAGGCAGTTGGGGGGTTTTGAAGGTGAGGGAATCCCTTACTTTGGAAGAACTGAGGCTTGGGGCTGTGAGGGACCAAGCTAGGATCAGGATGGGTTCTTGGCTAGTGACCACTGGGATTTGATTAACAATGGCAATGGGGGTTGCCGTTGCTAGGTGATGTCACATGGCATCGCGCTTTATGACTGCTTCACTTAGCGATGGAAATTCCGGGCCCAACTGCCGTAATAACTCGAGAACTACCTGTACAGGAGTTTACTTATTGCTCAAGAGTTGTAAAAGTAGAGCTTTGGTTTTGCTAACGAAGTGTTAGTCCTAGCTATTTCCTACTCCTCTGATTATCTTATCCTACTTCCTGCTCCCCCGGCTTATCTCTGTTGAGCTATGGACTTATTTACAGAGTGTTCCAGTAATTTTCTTCAACTTTGTGTACTGAATCTCATGTGTCTTTCCTTTTCCAGCTTTTTGTTTGAGGCATGCAGACGGTGGCCTAAGAATTACCGTTACACCCTCTTTGCCAAGACTGGTAACTTTTTTTACAGGCTGCCGTAGTCACTCTGGCTACTTTATTAATACTCACTTTCAGTCTCCATTTTCCTACACTTTCTTATCCTACCGGCTTTTTGCTGTTGCCCTGCTTTCTCTCAAAAGTATTCCTTTTCTGACCATCTGCTGAGTGACCCAGCTGACAAGAAGTGTCAGTTGTCTAACAGACTGTTGCTTCTTTAGCCTTGCTTTCTTTTTTGCCTTTCCTTTCCTGAAGGCGCTTGCAGCTGACTCGACTTGCTTTTGGTCCCCCAATATTTCAGCTGCTTTGTCCCATACACGCTCACATCTTTCTTCCTTCCAATGAAAACGGTACTCGAGAGACACACGTACACGCCAGCTCCAGTGTCTCCTCTTTCTTTTGATGGAGCATATCAGGTAGCTACTTGGCAGGGAAGCAGACAAAATCCAGAAATTCCTGTACCTTCTGGAATGACCATGAAGGACTCGCACCTTCCAGAAGCTCCTGTTGGCTTCAAACAAACAAGTGGGGGAAAGAGTTGCTCATTCCCAAATTTTATATGTTCTTCTACAGATAAAAATGGAAAGGAGAATTTTGCATTTTCCAGACCTTTCTAGGCGATGTTTCTTCCAGAATAAGTTATTGCAGTTTATGCATATTGCTCTTGAACATTAGGGAGAATAAACAGGAGTGAAAATTCTGGAAATTCACAAAAACAGGCCTGCTGTGGAATTTGATGACAAAAGTAGAGGAGTGCATGGATTTATAGTCTATTACATCAGTGGTTGTTGATCTTTCATTCCTTCATTTTACAGAAAGAGATGACAGCCCGAATGTGTCACTGAAGAACCGTGCTGCATGGAGGGGGGGAAAAAAGCAATGTCCTGCTAACTGAAGGAGAGCTAGAAGATACATCAGATTGCCCTGTGTAGGCAAGGACTTGCCTACTTATTCTTAAAAAGCAGGAAAGTCAAGAACAGAAGATCTTTTGCTTTCACACATACTTGGCACCAATAAGTATGCTCTTAACCTAAATATGCTGCTAGGTACTCCCTTGGAACCTTGTGGATAACTTGTAAAGGAAGAAAGAAAAAGAAAATTATTCTTTTTGCATAGATCCTGAATGATTGAGAAGGAGTTACTCGGATTCCAAATCAATTCCAACTTCCTGTTCTTACAGCTTTACTGCAGTTGTGCTTTCTAACCATCATTTTGATACTGACCTTAAGTAACCAAACTGTGATTGTATTGTTGTGCAGGCAGTCTCTGTTAAAAGCCTTAGCAGTAGCTTGTTCCTTTTCATTTCTTCAAATAGGGATAGGGAGCAAGTCACTTGAGCACTTGGCACTTAAAAATGCTGTGTGTGTTTGACCAATAGGCAGAGAAGAAGCTAATCACCTAGTAGAATGGACAAAATGTTTTTCCATTTAAAACTGGCATGACTGCTTACCCAAATAGTGGCTTTTGAAACACCTCCAACTGTCCACACGCATCTCATTGATCTCCTTTAAGCTGTCTAGAACGACCGCTGTGAGAGGTTATCAGCTTGCATCTTGGCACCAATAACAGTGCCCAAGGCCTTGGGATCACTAATAAAAAAATCCCCTTGACAGCGAGTTCCACCATAGCTGGCTCATACAAAGGACACATCTGTTTTTCATGCAGACTTAATATAAAAAGTCATGTTCCATCTTGTGCATTTCAATGGATACAGGGATCGCTGGGGAAAAGTGAGAAAAGCGTATTGACGTGCAGGCCAAGTAACGTGTCCTAATCTGGAAAAAGAAGCGATTTGTATCTCTGCACAGAGGTATTTGTGTGCACAGAAAGAAGGGGAAGACTACTCAGGGAGAAGCAGGAAGAGAAAAACCTCTGCGTAATGGGAAAGGGCAGATGTTGCAAGGCATAAACAAGTCCCATTTGTTAACACAAAAAGCACTACTTAGGTTCATTTGCTACAGTTATTGAAACTAGAGTGACTGGAGGATTCTCTTCAGAGGGCTAGTTTGATGTGCAAATACACAGAACAAGTATAAAGATCCAGTAAAAGCCACTAGACTCTCTACTGATAATTGTATTTCATATTGTGATCATATCTATGCAGCTTTCTAGACTGTCTTTTATGTTATTCAACATTTCCTGGTAAATACATTGAAATACCACTGTGCCTCAATTAACATGTCTTTTACTCAGTTGCTTTTCTTTCTAACAGTTATTTCAGCTATCAGGAAATTGGGGACTTGTGTGATTGTGGTACTGGTTATATAAGTTGTAAATCCAGAGGCTGGTATGAAGAACATGTGCAATTAAGATCATTTTTAAAACACAGGAACTGTAGAACACCTTTGAGATTGTTCATAATCAATACACTTTGTATGTGCAAGAGATCTGTAGTCTATGAATTGTACATGCAGATAATTGGAAATATACACACACACAGAGTTAGTGCTTCTCATTGCTTCCCACTCATTTCTAGTTTTCTTTTAATTTGAAAAACAAACACCTTGTTGAAGCAAAGATGATTAGGATGAAGCTGGAATTAAAACTACTACTTTTATTTCTTTCTGTGAAAATTCCTTCACAGCTTAATAAATAGTGGTTTGTCCAATGGGATTCTCCAGGGAAGCTAATATTGGTGTCTTCAGTGAACTGCCAAGGAGTATCCATAGCTAAATCATTAATGAGCTTTTACTGATGAAGTTTTAACACACAATTAAGAACATAAAAATACAGAGAAAACAATAGTATGTTTGCTGGGTACATTGCTTCAAATTTAATTGTATAATTTTAGAATTAGAAGTATATCTAGAATTTAGAGTTTATATGTCATCTTTCAGGCCTTGACATTTTTGCTGACTCTATGCAATCTGTTCTTCCTGAGCTGTTCCAATATCAATAAGAACGTAATACAACATAAGATAAAAAAAATAAAATGTAGGTACATTATTTGAGTATATTAACCATATAGAATAATATAAATGAAAATCAGTGGAGATTTGTAAGAATTTATTTTTGATATTGATATGTTCTTATTCCCACATGAATTTAGCACCAACTTTAACGTGAATCTGAATCAGAAGTTCAAGGTAATTTATATCAAGTTACAAATTCTAACATTCAGGACTGATTTTTTTTAGTGACGTTCCCTAAATTAATTTAGGATACAAACTGACATGCCTGAAAGTCAGGGAAATTTTATCTTACGTGCCACTTCAGCAGCAAAGAATAGTTTCTGAAACAGATGCTCATGTAAATGGGTTCTTGTTTGTTCGGGTTTTTTTCTGTTTGTTTTGCTCTCTTCCTTTATGTCTGCCCATTTTTTTGTTTAAAACTGAAGTCACAAAAGAGGTACAATACATCTGCTCTTTGCTGTAACAGTGCAGGATCAATTTCCCTGAGCTGAGTCCAGAAGAGAGATTTCTGGCAAGCTTGCTGCCACTCTGTTAGTCTATATGCAATTTTTGTAAAACATGAAAACCAGTGCATCCAGTCCTCCTAATATCTGGCTTTTTTGCTGTTTCAAGAACTTGTAAACTGGATACCTTGGGTTTTGTTTTTTTTCCTCCTCCTTATCTGGGACTTAACCATAATTTAACAATAGCTTCAATAGGTTATTTTTAAAAGATTAAATAACAGGAACTAAAATATATAGATCAAAACCACATTCTGTGTTAATCTTTATTGCATGCAGTGACCAAACTCTAAATCCTTACTCAGGAAAAAGCAAAGAACATACTGTTTGACTTGTGATTTAGAGAGGCAGAGAATATGATCGTATGTTTGAAACTGGAAACATATTTTCAAATAAAAAATGTCAGGGTTCAAGCCACTTGGTGGTTGAGAGCTTTGCCCATCTTGCACAGTATGAGATAAAACTGATTATCTCATCTGAGAGATCTAAACTAAGCTAAACTGAAGGGCTCTCTTCCTGGTGTCCCTCAGATATGTTGCACTACAATTTCCAGAATAACCATATTGTTTGGGAGTTGCAATCCAACCACATCTTGAGATCACCAGATGTGGGCACAGATAATATGTAATGAAGCAATCCAGCTGGTGGCAAAATTCAGTGAGAACTGTAATAAGAGCTATCTTTCATAGTCAGTGAAAGGTGCAAATATGGGCAACAGGCTGGATTTATTATTCATATAAGAATCTGTAGCAAATCACACATGGTATTTGGGAACAGCATAATGTTGACTGCACACATCCCCAGCAAAAGTTACACTGTCCATACAAAGTATTAAAGGGGAAGAAAGTGCATCATCAAAATTAGCTGATAAACAGTAAATCACAAAGCTATTTTGAAATATCAGACACAGACAATAGTAATGTAGTTGTTTGTACAGTCCTAACCTCTTTGTAAGTATAGCTCAACAAAACCAAATATATAGTTTCTTTTCTGTGATTCAAATATTTCTATTTTGAAATAGTTTTATACTGGAACAGGTTTTTTAAAATGCAGTTATGCTTTTTATCTGGTTCGTGATGGTACATGAGGGGAGCTTTCCCCACTAGTTTAGAGAGAACCTGTGGACTTTTTTCCAAGTGTTTAAACTTTTGTTTTCAGTACTGCATAGTTAAGGTTGTTTTTTCTGCCACACTAACTGAATTCTAAAATACAGGCCTTAGAAATGTCAAAGCCAATACATTTATAGAACAAGTTATGTGTATGTGATTTAAATTAAAATTTCAACTGTTTGATGAGATTAATGGTGTCAGTGAAATAAAATGAGTTTTCCAAAAGGGTTAGTAATGTTGCATCATTCCTAAGTCATGCTTTTAATCTGTGCATCAAATAAAGAAGGAAAAAACATAGGTATCCTATATGTGATTATAACTTTCTCTTTTTTAAAATGACAGTTTCCCCAATTTATGACTCTCATAAACCTAGCTAAATGATATAAGCTTTGTTTTCTTTAATAAAAATATATGTATTTGGTTTTATCTCAACTGGGGAAGGTAACTAGCCTTGTTGTTTGCTTCAGTAGTATTCTGGAAAAAAAATCTGGAATTCCTCACAGCTCATTCACCATTATGGACTTGTTTCTAGAAATATTTTAAAGAAGAGAAATGTTCAAAATACTCCAAGAAATGCCCATGTAGAGAATGAGAACTAGCCTAAACCCTACAAGTGTACCTTCTGGAGAAACTGCTTAGGAGAGTGACCAGAATCCTAAATTTATATGACAGTACCCATAATCCTCTCCTGGCATCTACTAGGTTTCCTGCCTTTTTACATTTTTCAAAGAATCAAAAGCTAGCATGCTCTATAACAAAGCCCAAGCATCCAGCACCACTGTTACTTCCAAAAATGCCCTTCGGCCACAAATGGACTCCACAAAGTTAGTGGGTACCTCCAGAGATGTGTTTTCTTTCCATTTGCATAGAAAAAGAAACCCCACCAGGTGAAGTAGGGGACAATGAAAAGGGTAATGAGTGATTTATAATAAATTGTATATTCTGTGAATGGACAAGGTTCCCTCCCCTCCCTGTCTTCCAAGTGGGCCCACCAACTTCAAATGTTAAGGGAGCCCTCAAGATGTTGCCTCTCTTGGCAAAGCATCTAGGTGGATTAGCTAGAATCTCCCTGGAAACATAGTAATCAAATAATTTGCTTTCCACCAAATTCTTGGCCTATGTAATTACTGCTTTTCACCTTTTATTTTTTTCCCTATTTCCATTTTCATTTAACTGTTTGCTTACCTCACGATTTGCTTTTTCCTTACTTTCCTATTCAGTTACATTTCATCATTACTATTCCCTTCTAATCTTGTCAAGCTTACTTGATGTTTATAGTCTGCTTCCTTTTTTAAAAAATTCAAATCATGCTTTGTCCATTTCCTTCCCCCCTCACCCCCTTTCCTGCTTTTACTCAAATGGTTTTGATCCTCTAATAAAATTAGTGATTGGGATCAAGTCTGGGAATGAGTAATGCCGGTAACAAAGGTAGTTGTGAACATACATTTATCAGAAATGGTTTATAAATGTGTTTAACCAGGCACATTGAAACAATCCATGATTTGGGAATCATGGTAAGGGCTCACGGTTCCCAAATATACAAAATTTCTAAGCAGTTGGGTGTGCAAAAGTACTGGAGGGTGGCTCGATGTATTCCCATGTCTCCTACTCAGTTTGACCCTCCACATGATTCAGCTGAAGACCTACTTTGACTTTCAGTCTCCTTGCAATTTTGGCTCCAGTGTTTTGCAATTAGCAATAAACATCACTACCAATCATAGTTTCCACATTTGTGTGGCATCGTGCAGTATCTAAAGGATATCATTACCACAATCATACATGCAACTATGCAAAATAAGCCAGTACTGTTTGACTATTACAGGCTGAAAGAGGGTAGCTTGTCTAAGGCTCCCATCCTTCCTTCCGGAAGATGCCATTTTCAGGTTTATAGTACAAACTGCCCGTACAATAGATACTAACAAGCCACTGCTTTCTCTGAGGGCTTATGAGCTAGTGAAGGTTTTGAGTTATTCTCATTTGGGGCCGGTGTATAGATCTGACCCTCTGGAACTGATCTACAGGCCAAAAGGTCCTGTGGGGACCAGCTATAAAATGGGGGGAAGGGCTATGGCTGTGTTGATCAGTCTGTACACATTTTAAGTCAGCATTGTAAATTTTTATTAAACCAACAGCTTTAATCTGATTTATGCTCATTAACAGTTGTACTGCATTGCACTCTCTTGTAGCAAGGAACCAAAAAGATACAACATTATCAAAAAAAATCAGTACACTATGAAACAGCCCTATTACCTGCTATTCATAATGACCAGGCTGTTCTTTCATTAACTGGTTCACTATTTAACTCTACTGTGGCTAATCTGTTTTTCCAAGGAACTAAGCCTACATTTTACAACTGAAGGCTTGTAACTGCATTTAAAAAGAAGCAGTGGGCCAGTTTACAGCATGTGGCATGCTGGTTACATCTGGCAGCCTGGATAACAGGGCTGTTTACATTGCATAGATCGTAACAAGTCTTCTGGGCTTCCATGCTGTAAAATTCAGGACCAGTTCCTTCAAATCTGGTGCTCTAGTCATGTATTTATTAGAACAACAAGGTTAATGTCATGTTTACAATCAACAATCTCTGCAGATTTACAACTGATGTTAAATGAGAAAAACAACTGTTACAGTATTACTGGATACTGGTAATGCAGCTTTGACCAAAAGACTAATCCCAGGAAATGCAAATCCATCCTTTGTGATGTCATTTGAACACTGTGCCAATTATGTTCTGTCTTTTACAAAAGATTTAGCCAGTTGAAATGCCCCACCCACCCCAAACTAAATTAAAAGCCCACCTGCCTCTTTCCTTCCAAGATATACACCCGATTTGCTTACATGAAAACACTTCTCCAGCCTGTCTGCTTTTTTGCCTCCCTCCCCCTGAAGAATGCAATCAAGTCCCGTCCTCCCTCCACCTACCCAATTTACTTTTTTACATCAAAAATCTTTCTCTACTCCTCAGCTCCCCTCACCCTCCACAAACAGCAAACAAAATGAAAATCCCAACCCCTCTGTACTTGGTTAATTGACAGTAAAGTACTTACTCTAGCGCAGTGTTGTCCAAACTTGGCCACTTTAAGATGAGTGGACTTCAACTCCCAGAATTCCCCAGCAAGTTTGCAATGTGAGTTTATTCCCACCAGGTGTAGTGGTTAAGGCTGTTAACCTAGAAACCAGGAGACCCCGCTACCTTAGGAACAAAGCCAGCTGGGTGATCTTGGGCCAATCACTCTCTCTTCCAGCCCTAGGAAGCAGGCAAGGGCAAGCCACTTCTGAAAATCTTACCAAGTAAACTGTAGGGACTTGTCCACGCAGTTGCCAGGAGTTACGACTGACTCCGAGGGACCACCACCTACCTCCGAAAGAATCCCACAGCCCAGCACGTGCAGTTTGCAAAGAGCAGGAGATGTGGGGCTGCCCCATGTGTGACTGATTGAAGGAGCTGCCAATCAGCTGCACAGAGAAGAGCAAGCTCTAGGTTTCTCCCCAGCTGTGGGTCTGAAGATCCCCTGACCACCAGCAGCTTGACAAAAGGCTGCAGGACCCCTCTAGAATGTCTCTGCCTACTTGGCTAGTTTGTGTGAGGTTACATCGTCGGGAAAAAAAGCAGCAGAAAAAAAGGCCTGATTTTGCTTTTCATAATAAGGCCCTTCTGCACTCAACCTTCTCCCTAAAATAATTATTTGTTAAAGGAGCCTCCCTTAATAGGCCGGCTACCCTCAGCTTCCAATTCAGAAGCAGGATAAATAATGCTGTTGAGCGGAGACTTTCAAAGCCATGGGTTAGCCACAAAAAGCAGCAGCTTTTCAAGGGGCTGACCTCCCAGAACTCCCCTACAATATAATGGGAAAAAGTCTGAGGAGTAGCAGCCACTTCCACTGCCTCAAAGGAAAAAGGAAAGCCATCATAATTCACCAGAGAGAGTGACTGTGTTCCTGAGGCCCCTTTTCCAAATTCAGAAAACCTGAATATTGCCTGCCCTCAGTAGCGGAGAATTGGCTTGGAGGCATCAAAATTCAGGGGCTTTGCCTCAGATGGTAAGATTGTCATATGCAAGATCCCTGATAGGGTATTTGATTCCCCCCCCTTTTTTTAAGTGAAATGGTCTGCTCTGACCTATTAAGGAGATTTCTAGAAAACACATTCTAAGGTTAGGCAAAGCCCACGATCTAGCTAATTACATCTAACCAGAAGAAGAGGCCAAGAGCATGTACTCTGTGCCTAGGAAGGAAGTGACCTCCGATTAGGAATCACTTAGACAAAGAGCTGGCAGAGTGATAAAGAGAAAACACAGAAATAATTTCAACTCTCTGTGCTCCCTACTGCCACCTTGTAGTCAGGAAGGGCTAAAGCAGTGTTATCCAAACTTGGCTGCTTTAAGATGAGTGGGCTTCCAACTCCCCAAAATCCTCCCACCCCCCCGCCGGCGGGGGG